TGGTCTCTGGCCCACACTTTGAGTACCATAGGTCTAGATTTTATTTCATGTTAGAGAAAGGATATTGATGACTTTTGTTGAATTCTACCTTGTACCTCATATGGCTGGCGAAGTGACTGGTACCCAACAAGTGCCCAGTGTATATGTTGAATGAAAGAGAGAGCTCCCTGAATCTAAGCTTACTATCAGTCTACAGTAGACATGCCCTAGAAAAAGCCCAGAGAGGACTGAAAAAAAAAAAATTTAGAGTAAACTTATTTTAGACTTCCCATGTGACTTTCATCCTCATTTCTGTAATCGCTGGACTCGTGGGCTGGTGCTTATGTTCAGGGCTGTTTTGAGAACCAGCAGGGTAGGTCACTGCATAAACAGCTGCTCAGAGTTCAATTCTGGGTGTTATTTATTTATTAAACCAAGAAAACCAGATGATGTTGAGTCAGTTACAACTCATGGTGCCCCCATGTGTGTCAGAGTAGAACTGTGCTCCACAAGGCTTTTAGTGGCTGAGTTTTTGGAAATAGATCACCAGGCCTTTCTTTCAAGGCACATCTGGGTGGACTTAGACCTCCAGCCTTTTGGTCAGCAGCTGAGCACTTTAATCAGTTAATACGTAATTAGTTACTTATTAACTAATAAATGACCCAGACATTAGTTATTTATGAGTTGCCCACTCAACAACCTATTTTATACCTTTGAATGATAGATATAAAATTGTCTTGTGTATAAATCTTTAAATATAAGTTATTTATAATTATGTTTAGTGTTTTCACAAGTATTTATGAGGGGAAGGCCTTCGATGAGATGGATTGACATGGTGGTTGCGACAATGGGCTCAAGTATAGCAGGGATCATGGACTGGCACGGGATCGGACATTGTTTCATTCTGCTGTGCATGGGGTTGCTGTGAGTCAAAAATGACTTGATGGTACCTAACAACAACAAAGCTTATTGGTCCAGTTGTGAGGATTTTTTTTTTTCTTTATGTTGTAGTCTAATCCATACCGCAGACTGTATTCTTTAATCTTCGTCAGTAAGTACTTCAAGTCCTCTTTTCTTTCAGCAAGCAAGGTTGTATTATCTGTATATCTCAGATGGTTAATGAGTCTTCCTCCAATCCTGATATCATACTTTTCCTCATATAGTCCAGCTTCTCAGATTATTTATTCAGCATACAGATTGAGTAAGTATAGTGAAAGGATACAGTCTTGACACACTCCATTCCTGGTTTTAAACCAGGCAGTATCCCCTTGTTCTGTTTGAAGGACAGCCTCCTAGTCTATGTACAGGTTCCTGATGAGCACAATCAAGTGTTCAAGAATTCCCATTTTTCTCAATGTTACCCATAATTTGTTATCCACACAGTCAAATGCTTTTGCATAGTCAATAAAACATAAGTAAATATCTTTCTAGTATTCTTTGCTTTCAGCCAAGATCCATCTGACATCAGCAATAATATCCCTTGTTCCATGTCCTCTTCTGTATCCAGCTTGCATTTCTGGAAGTTCCCTGTCAATATACTGCTACAACCATTTTTGAATTATCTTCAGCAAGATTTTACTTGGATGTGATATTAATGATATTGTTAGATAATTTCCATGTTCTGTGGGATCACCTTTCTTTGGAATGTGTACAAATATGGATCTCTTCCAATTTGTATACATGCAAAATAGGGTCACACTTGGGTCTGAAATCCCAGGAGATTTTACACAGGAAAAATAAGGGTATTGGACCTTCCTTTCACATTTTACTTACAGTAAGACTCCAAAAGATTGAGCGTAGATATTTGTAAATGTCATCAATGGCCAAGTTGTCCTTAATAAAGGAGAAAAATCTACATCACACTAACTAGAGTTTAAATTTGTCATAGAGCAATATCACATAGTCTGCTTCAAGTAAAAACAAAAGAGGTTTATTGGAGGATGGAGACAGTCCAGACAGTCACAATTTACAGGGTGAAGATGGCTGCCTTTCTGCACAATGAGGAAGAATATGTTTTTGTACAGTTGGAGCAGGAATTGAAAGTTACAAAATCATAATTGGCTGAAAGACAGTAAGGGGAGCTAAAGGTAGATATCTAAGAGCAGGGACTTTGTAGGTTTAGTGAATCATGTATATGTGGGATTAGGTGGTCGGTTAGTGTACATAATTGCAAGCCTAAGTGCTCTTCAGTTTATTACAGGTTGGCCAAAGGACAATGACAGAACATTTTGGTAATGTGCTATAAAAATTGTTTTCTCAATCATGTCTGTTTCTGGGGGTCCATTGTAAAGATTTATTGATACTGCTGTGCATCAAGAGCTTTTGAGTATAAGCTATCACATCTTACATCTATTTGCCCATAGCAGAAAGACCTTCTGGGAATAGATTGTGGTAACTTGTATCTGGCAGACCTCAGAGAAGAATGTCCCATTTGGAGTCTATGGTCCACACCATGGTTAAGTCAGCATCAAGGTTAGAAGAATGGCTGTAGCTTTAAAATTCAACGTAGATTCTAGACTCATGGCAAGACTTTAACATGGAATTGAGGCTCGGCTTTCAGACTGCTCTATTTATACACACCAACTGCCTCTGATTTTAGACTCTCATACAAATTAATTATCTATCTTATTATGTTTTAAGGTAAAAACACACTTCTAAGATATTCATAGGATTAAATAAAAATGTTAATAGTTGAGTATATCTAAATGGTAGGATTGTGAGTATTCATAATTACCTATATAATTCTTCAAGTTTTCTGTAGTGAACAAGTCTGAGTTTCATAGACAATATGATTTAAAATGAGTTTCATTTATTCAAGAAGACTCTATGAACTTTTAAAAGTTCTTTTTCGATAGCCTTTTCATTATTGATTTTCCTTTGCTCTCTGTGGAGTTCTCCAGTTCAGAACTCACTTGAATGTCTAAGGATGACTGGCCTCACTCACTACACAAGATTTACAGAAATTGAATGCAAGAGAGGACAAATGTTGGGATATACATAAAAAATATTAATGGTAGTTCTCTCTGGATGGTAGGGTCAGAAACAATTTTCTCCATTTTGCATGAACTTAAAGTATATTGTTGTTATAACTGGAAAAATACAGTATTATTTTTAAAGGAAAATTAAATACCACAGAATGTAACATTTCATAATCTTGAAAATTTCAAAATCATTTTATCAGTTTTTTTCCCGAAAATTAATAAAAGTATTCATAGAACTTAATGCTCATAGTTATTAGCACACAAAACCCCAAACTCAGTGCCTAGTCGATTCCAATGCACAGCGACCCTGTAGGACAGAGTAGAACTGCCTCATAGAGTTTTCAGGGCTGTAAATCTATGGAAACATACTGCCTCGTCTTTCTCCCACTGAGTGGCTGGTGGCTTCAAACCGCTGATCTTTTGGTTAACAGCCAAATGGTTTAACTACTGTACCATCACAGTTCCTTTGACACATAGTAGAGCCCTAATAGTTGCTGCTTTTCCTTTTAATGATGATGACAATGTTAATGATAATATTATCATCATTAACGTAATACTATTTTAAAGAAAATATTATAATGCAATGTTATTTATGTTAATGATATTATAACTATCAACTTGCTGAGCAAGACATTCCATTGGTCTTATAATAAAGAAAAATAAAATAGAATATAGCCACAAAATCAGGACAGACATATTTGCTGCAAATTTTGCATGAGTTAGTTATAAATTAATCCATTCATTGCCATTGCTTTTGTAATGCTTAATCTTTTAAATCTTAATTACTAATAAATTTTTAAATAATTTTTTTAAAATTAGTAAGTAAATAAAGTGAATTGGTAGCCTTGTTTTTAATCTTTTAAGTCTTAATTACTAATAAATTTTTAAATATATTTTTTTAAGTTAGTAAGTAAATAAAATGAATTGGTAGCCTTTAAAAAAAAAAAATTAACATTCAGTTGCAAATGTAATGTCAGCTCCTTGAATCTTTATAACAAAATAGAAGATAAATAATGATAGAGGACTTTAAGGCATAATTTTAATGTGTTTGATTTCAAAGACTGATTTGAGTCTAATACCTGATACCTGAAATTGGGGACTTTTTTTCTACCCCTATAAAAGCTTTCTCTTTTCTACTTTCTAATACATCATTTCTTATTATACTTTATCCTGTGTTTAGTGTCTTATTTCTTTATTATTATTACTTTCTCAATGATTATTGTTTTGTCAAGTAAACCCACATTTGAGTGTAATTTTTCTCATTTCTTTGTCTCAGTAAATCAATAGCTTCGAAATACCCTGTAAAGTGGTAGTCATGTTTTTGTCACACAGAGACCTGTCTGCTTGCTACATAAATCATGATGCTGTGATAAGTTATTACCATTTGCTATAAATATCCTACTTCCGTAGTGATACTGCCTCGGAAACCCAAGGAGGGGTCGCTATGAGTCGGGGCCGACTCGACGGCAAATAACAACATAACATAAATTTTCAGTATTTAGGGCATCAGACATACTCAATCAGGATTCAGTTATTTAATTTAATTTATTTCTGTATTTTAGATGAGAATTATTTTCCACATTGATAGACTTGAATTTCCTTCTCTCTCAGGCTTGAATTCCTAGCATACCTTATAAAACCACCACCGAATGTAGATGTGGATAAACCATTTCTGTGTTTACAAGTGGACTTAAAAATACAAACTTGTAAACTATATTTCAAAAAGCAAATTTATAACCTTCAATAGTATTTTTCTTTCTTAACACTTTAAATTATCTTTATCACTGTTGCATTGGTATTTTGATTCTCAGGTGTTAGACAATCATACCAGGTAACTCTCTGTATCCTATTGGGACATGATTTTCAAGGGGAACTTTAAAAAAAAAAAATTCTCACAAATGATGCTCAGAAGTAAAAAAAAAAGTAAGTTATTCTGTATTCAGTGCTATGTCTACATCTTAATGTATTACTACAAAAATCACTTTTTTAAATCCATTGTAATGGTACTGAAAAATAATTTTCTTTCCTTTTTTACCAAAGGACACAAAAATTGCTTCATTGGAGCGAAACATAAGGGATCTTGAGGATGAGATCCAGATGTTAAAAGCCAATGGTGTACTGAACACTGAGGACCGTGAAGAAGAGATCAAACAAATAGAGGTTTACAAAAGTCACTCCAAGTTCATGAAAACCAAGGTATGATTATAAACTTTTGTACTCTTGGTGTGACTGGAAGTTTACAGTTTATGTATGAACTTCTCCCAAATAACTTACATAATCTACTTCATGTAATATTATGAAAGACATAGATAATAAAGAAGAATGTGCATGATTGTTAGTTTACAAACAGATTTCAAAGTGCATTCAGGGAAAAACCTTTGGAATTCTTACTTACCAAGATGTTTGGGTCCTTCTAATGAGTTCCCTTGGTGTTCTCTGTCTTGGGAATTAGCATTATGTTTTAGTAGACCTCTCTCTTCCAAATTTCCTCATTATTTTAAGTTTGTGATTTTTATTTCCCCCCAAATTGCTCTCATTGCTAAATTTGTTCTCCGACCATGGAAGGTGATTGTTGCATAAGGTGTTGCTTCTAGAAGCCAGTTTAACTGACTTCAGTGTTTTAACATTTTGGTTTAGGTTAGTGGTTAAGATAGAACTGGTTTTAGTCCCAGTGCTGCTGTTTTCCTCAAAGTATTCAGACTCTCTAAGCCTCGATTCCTTGTCTGTAAGACAGGGTTAAGACAAGTGCCTACCTCACTGAGTTGCTCTGACAATTGCAAGAGATGATGCATTTAATCTGTTACTCCTATGCCTGATCTGTAGAAAGCATTCAGTAAAAGGCAGGCATTGCTAATACTGCTATTGTTATTGTTGTTGTTACTGTTATCTGTTATTGGAAGATTTTGAAAATAATCTCACACATTAATTTATATCACTGTTGTCCATTTGAAAGCACTTGGCTTGCATTTTTCGCAGTTCTAGACTACAGATGGACTGACCACCTGAACATCTATTATTTTTTAACCAGTGGATGATTATTAAATTCATGAATAGCCCCAAACAGGTCTTTTGAGACTTTGAGATGCTTTTATACATTTCTTTTACTTAAACCACTTTGCTTCTGAAAATATTATCCACACTGAACAAGAATTTATTTTCATCTTCTCCACTTGCTTTTTTGAAAGTCCTTGTTCTTGGTTTTAATCTTTTTTTGTTGCTTTGTAAAATGTAGTGAGATAAGGTAATGCAGCCATCCATGAGAAAGCAGTGGGAGTAGGGGAGATAAATTCAATGACTGTTATGATTTTTATCTATTGTAAAATACAGGCATACTCACTGCAGAGAATTTGCAAATTTCAGAGAAGAAATAATAATGTCTAAGGTTGGGCAATCCTACTTCCGTAGTGATACTGCCTTGGAAACCCAAGGAGGGGTCGCTATGAGTCGGGGCCGACTCGACGGCACATAACAACAACAACAACAACCATTTACTTTGAGGAGCCCTGGTGATTAAGTGCTTGGCAGCTAACCTAAAGGTTGGCAGTTTGAACCCCTCAGCCACTCTGCAGGAGAAAGATGTGGCATTCTGTTTCCATAGAGATTATAGCTGGAAACCATAAGGGCTGGAATCCCTCCTCTGCACACATGGGGTCACTGTGGGTTGGAATTGACTCAAATGCAATGGGTTACCATATATTCCACCCCATATGGATGTGTGTACATATATTTTTTTTTCTCCAGGAAAATAAACAAAGAAACAAATCTGTGCTTAATTTTGTAGTAGAGGTATGGGAATGAGCATGTGCAGTGGAATTGAATATAACCCTTTCCTTTCAGGGACTGCTATAGCTGCAGAACAGGTTTCCCTGCCCAATCCCCCCTCTGATTTGTTTTTGGCAATCCCTTCCTCTCAGAAATTGGAACTGAGGTACATCAAATCCTGTCATAGGGTGGCCTGCAGACAGTGACCACATTACTCTGGGGATGAAGATCAGAGGCACAGACATGAGTGGACTCAGGATGTTTGTGAAAATTATTGTTTTGGCTTAACTTTTCATCAGTCTTTGATAACTGTGTTTCACCCTCAAATGGTCTCTCCCTAGCCTGTTATTCACAGTGGGAGAGAGCTCAAGCCACTTCTAGAGCTGAAAATGCCATGAGATTTGCAAACTCCGTCTTTCAGCTTGGACTTCATCCAGGAGAATAAAACATTTATATGGTCTTCAGCAAGCAAGCCATGACCTTTATTGCCCAAGGTTGTCTGCAAGGCCATCAATCCTTGAGTTGGATTGAACTTTTAATGGCTAGTTACTGTAAGAGTTCCAAAAATGGTCAGGTCAGAAGAATGCCTAAGGAGTGTAGCAGAGTGTGGTAGAAAGAGTGCAGGTTGAAAACTAAAGCCAGCTTGGGTGATTTTTTGTCTTACTTGTGTTAGCTGTGTAGCCTTGGGTGATGCCTGATGTCATTCAACCACAGTTTTATCTTCTGTAAAATGGGGATACAATCACTTACTTGGAGGGTGCTCAAAGAATTAAATAATGTAGTTAAAGTGCTTGGTTCAAAAAGTATGTAATAATTATATTCATCATTATTGAAGAAATGTAACTAAATACAATAATAATTAATAAAATACATAATAACCAGCCAAAACCAAACCCACTACCTCTAAGTCAATTGCAACTCATAGCAATCCTGCAGTATAGAGTAGAACTGCTCATCAAACTGCCTGTGGGCAATCCTACTTCCGTAGTGATACTGCCTCGGAAACCCAAGGAGGGGTCGCTATGAGTCGGGTCCGACTCGACGGCACATAACAACAACA